TGAAAATACTAATCCTGGAGGGTGATCTTCGTGTATTTGGGAGGCCCACTCATATTTCAGCACACAGATTTATAATAAAAACAATTCTAAAAGCAGCAAAGGCAAAACCTGCCACTTAGCTTCTAAGATTCATCTCCTCTTTTGCCTTTTTTTTCATACTGTCTTCCTTCACCCTCAGCCATTTTGCTCATACACCAGGCCCTTGAGCACCACCAGAAAAGCAGTTCCCATGACCATAGTGTCCACTCCAACCCTGCAGAGGCTGAATTCAGCCCACAGAAATCTATCTGCTCAGTCTGCTGGGGCAGCTTGCCGAGGTGATCCTCTTGAACTGAGACCCATGCAGACAGAGGAGCAGCCAGCGTGAGAGCCAACAAGATGGAAAGCAACACATGAAGGAAGACTGGAGGACAGCAGGCAGCCAGCCTGGCCTTATGGCAAGCCCAGTGGGACAGTTCCAGCAAGCCAGAGTGAGCAAATCTGAGCTCATTCTAGTGGCTCTGTCCCAAGCCCGAGTCACTGGGGAGTCCATGGACGAAGAGCCCTACTTGCATTTCCAGAAACAAACTGCTTGATGCTGTCATGGAAAACCTGGATCTTTGCATTCTACAGTTTCACTGTGGATAACATCCAGGTCACAACCTAAGGAAGACAGCTGGCAAAAACCAGCCCTGCTGGCTGATTACCCAACTTTTGTAATGAATCCCAGAGGGATACGAACCCATGTGCGGTTCTGGCTCTGCCAAGTCCTGAACCAGCTCTCATGGAATGAAGGCCAGTCAGCTGGTGATTTATGTTTCCAGGGGAGTCTGAGAAGCCACCTGCAATCAAGACTCCACTGAAAAGCTGCTCCAGAAAGAAAAGGGATAGAGTAATGTGTGCCAGAGCAAAGGGAGGGAAGGAAGAAGTTTGTATTCCTGGTGATGCGGCTGCTATCTTCTGCTTTGAAAAAAAAAATGATCCAAGGACACACTTAGTCACCCCAAAGCCCAGGACTGCTCTGCACCCTCAGCCCTGTCCCTGTACAATGAGTTCATGGTGTGAACAGGACAAGGACAAGTCTAAAGGCTACAAACAATACTCCTGCTCCTTAGAATGAACCAGTTCTAGGGAACATAAGAAATATACTAAAACTTGCCAAGAAAGCAGAAATACTTTAATACCTATCCTATAGCTGTTATTGGTTACTATATGCAAAGTACTATGCTTAAGCCTTTCTCATATATTATCTGTTATGGTTTAGGTCTAATATGTCCCCAAAAGTCTCACATTCAGAGGTGGAGCTAGTTGGAGGGGCAGTCACTGGGTATGACTGCCTGGAAGGGTGTATTCTCCACCCCAGCTCCTGCCTTCTCTCTCTGCTTCCTGCCTGCCATGCAGTGAACAGCTTTCCCTGCCATGCCATTCTTCCCTGGAGCCAGCAGGAGACCATGGGCTGAACCCACTAAACTGTGAGCCAACATAAATCTTTCCTCCTTTAAGTTGTGGGTGTTGGATATTTTGTTCCTGCGACAGGAAAGCTATCTAATCTTCAAAATAACTTTAAAGTATGTATTATTATTATACCCATTTTACAAGTGAGAAAAGTGAGCCCAATGCTTTGAAGCTATAAGATGAGGGCTGAACTCTGCATTCCTGTTGAGAGTAAGTGCTGGAAGCTCAGGCCCTTGTGCAAGAGCACTTAGGAAGCACATCTGGGTGCCCACTACCAGGAGAGGCCTTAACGACAGGCATACCCTGCTGTCTAGGTTAACTCGATCTTCAGTAATTATTTGTTTAAAGTAACATAGGTGCCACTGAGATGGCAGATTCTTTCACACCCAGCTTCTAAAATGATAACATCAAGATCTTAGTGATTTATATTTTTATAGACAACTTTGTAAGTTGTGGCCTATTCATTAAAATTAGATGTAGCAAAGGAATATGCTTACAATATCATTTTGCAGTTACATTTTACAAAACATCCCTTGATGCAAGCTGTAAGAACAAAGACATCCCATAGTGTACTTGTGAAGAATCCTGAGCTGTTCTGGCAGCAGCCTTCTCACCATTTGTCTCAACACTGGATAAATGGGGGTGGAGTGGCTGTGCTCAGCTGCCAAGCCCTTGGCTGAGGCCCCAGAGAAAGAAAGCAGGTCAGCTGTGTGCCACTGGCCTGGTCCCTTCCTCAGCTCCCCACCTAAGATGAGGGCTGCTGTTCACATCGCTTCAACTGCCTGGTATGGACCTCTGCAGGGGAGAAGAAGCCCATGGCAGATGTGTCCCCAGAGCATGTGACAGATGCCAAGTCCATCTTTCTTATGGTTTCCTCTCTACCTGTGTTGCTGGCTGGCCTGGAAGGGTGAAGGAACTGCTTCTTTCCTGGGTTTCAATGCTCAGCATTAGGCCCCTAGAGAGCAGAATGACTAGACAGGAACCTCTGCCTCCTGCCAATTTACAATTGTGAGTAATTTCAGAAGTTTTGAGAGGCTGCCTAAGTCACAGGTTGGGGAGAAAGTCAATAGTTTCCTTAGATAACTCAGACTTTTGGAAGAGACAGAGGACAGGCAGACTAGGCCCTGGGGGGTGCTTTTACTTCCTTCCCCTCAACTCTTTTTCCCAGAGGCATTATGCAGAAAGAAAAGCCAGGAAAACTCACTGGAGTGTGTGAATAGCTAAGATACACACATGATCTCTGCACAGAAATGAATGAGCTTGCCACTTAAGTGAACAGGAACCAGCAAAAAAGGATCTGACAGACTGACCTGCATTCTTGGAGATGGGATTCACCAGTCCAACCCCTTATTAAAAACTGTGTGAACAGTCTTTGGAACTAAAGGATGCCTGTGCCTCTGAATGACTGTAAGACAGATTGGGTGTTGGGGCCCAACCTGTCCCATGCCCTGCTGTAAATGGCCACAGGCTTGCTAGAAGGGAGATCCCTACTGGAGGCCTTACAGCAGGGCAAGTCAGACTGAACCCACAGAACCCAGGAATGGAAACACAGGATGTGTGAGTTCAACCCAGCTAGGGAAAGCTAAGTCCTCCTGGCTGGTCAACCAGGGCTCTTCAATGTGTGCTGGCTTCACTTATCAACATTTTTTTCTTGACTTTTCAAAAGCCTTTGGTAATACACCATAGAAGTTTTAAAATAAGACAGTTGAGAGACACAGTATGTCCAAGGAAAATAAAGTAGGGGCATTTCTTTGAAAAGAAAAAGATGGGGCTGGGGAATTAGCTCAGTGGCACTGTGCCTGCCTCACAAGTGCAAGATCCTAAATTCAATCCCGAAAGAAAGTGGGGGGGTGGGGGGAGGAGACAAGAAAAATATGAATCAGTACTGAAATCCTTATTTAATATTTCTGGAAGATGAAATGTTAAACTCAAGGGCATATACCTCAGATTTCAGAAGCAAATCAAAGGGGACAATAAGCTTCACAGAATGGGAAATCTAAGCAAAATAATAATAATAATAATAATAATAATAATGTAAGTTTAATAATAATAATAAGGTAATTAGTTTCCAATCTCCCTATTGTTCAGACGACAGAACACCAAGGTCCAGAGAGGAGGTAACATTTATCTCAAGTGGAACTGCTAGTTGGTGACAAAACTGAAAAGGGAATCCTGGCCTCCCAGAATCCGTGAGTGCTTATGACTGACTGCCTGGGCATTCATGGTATGACAGATAAAGAAATGAGGGTCCAAGATTTGGGATGGAGAACTTAAGAGGAGCCCTGGTGGCAGGATGGAGTACATGGCCTATGAAACCAGACAAGGACGTAGAACAGGTCCTTTATCATCAGTATCTCTCTTGGCCCACTTCCTCCACCCCACTCCAATCTTTCCTGCAAATGCATACCAGCCACACCACACAGGGGCCCCTAAGATTTGAGGAACAGAAAACTATCTTATCAGCTATTTGGGGGAAAGAAAAAAAACAGTCATTTGATCTGTTTATTTAGAAGGCAACCCAGCTGAGCTCCAGCTTTGCTGCAGGCTGAGGAGAGTTCATTCATCTGGGGTCTGTTTCCTTGCAGCCCAGATCAGTGCTTATCTTCACTACAGGAGGTGTGTGCTCCCATTCCCTGAGGAGGAGCCACCTGTATCCTTCATTTAGGGCTGTGGGTGGATTCCTGTTCCTCGTGTTAGGCTTGAAATTGCTAAATACCTAGGTTTAAAAATGAATACCTCGGGCCAGGGATTTAGCTCAGTGTTTCCGCCGCCTGCCTCGCAAGCCCAAGGTCCCAAGTTCGATCCCCGGTACCAAAAAAAACCCCACCTTTTTCCCCCTGAAAAATGAAAGCAATAGTCTATTCTACTTTCAGTGCATGTCTTCTAACTCAGCATAAGGACGGACTGTTATCCTCTGGGTTCACATCCACCTTGCAACCCTCAGGGGAATCCTAGGAAGGTGGGGAGTGGGGGCTGGAATCTCTTCCTGCAGGTCACAGCCTGCCCTCGGGGATCACTATAATGAGCTCGCACTTTCTTTCTACACCTGTCTAACAAGCTCAGGAGTGAAGTTCCCAGAAAAGTGGAAGAGTAGTTTGCATTTTCTATGCATGCACAGAACATTCTCAGGCTCCAGAAGACACAATTTAAACAGAGCAGCTGATACGAATTCCTTCCCAGCCTCTTCCTGGGCCAAAGCTGAACTCACTGGGGGGAAGCATGGAGCCCGCTGCTCCCACTGAGCCCCACTCATTCCTTCTCAGCAGCTTGCTGGCTGCTGACAGGACTGGCTCTCAAGGAGATGTGCCCACTTGGGAGTGTGCCTTAATCTAGGGGGAAGCAAAAGCCACGGGCAGGTACTCAAAACCCAATAGGTAGACAGGAGAAAGCAAGCAGTGAGTGGAAGAGAGCAAGACTGGATCTTCGTGCTGAGCAGGAGTGCGCGACACAGGGAAAAGGGACCCACGTGGCGCACCAAAGGCACATGCTGCTGGGAGCAGAAAGTTGGAAGAAAAGCTCTTCGGGAGATGTCTTCAGAGTGACTGCGCCCTCCCCGCCCCACTTACCCGCGATTCCCTGCAGGAGCCCGCACACGTTGAAGATGCTCTTCTTCATGATGCTCTGCACACACATAGTGAAGACGGATACCAAGGCCACCAAGCAGAGAATGAGGATTCCCACGGCCAGGAAGATCGCAGTGGCCTGCCAGAAGCCGCTGGCGATCTCTCCGAAGCTCTCCGCATAGGGCCCGCAGAGCGTGTCTCGCGGTACGTGCTGCAGGCCAGGGTTGCGGATGCAGCGAGCATAGATGCCCAGCGTGGGGTGAGGGGGCTCGGGGGCGCCCCCTGCCGTCGACTCGGCCCCGCCGCCGCGGCTCTTGGCCTTCCCGATCAGCCAGTCTGCACTCATAAAGGCGATGAGCTCCGCGAAGGCTACCACAATACTCAGGAGGGTCCAGAGCATGGAGCGGCAGGTGACAATGACATGACACATATTGAAGTTCACAGAAGCAGTCCAGGGGGTTAATCAAAACAGCCGGCCGGTGGGGCGGGAGGAGGCGCCGGCGGCCCAGGAAGGAAGTCGTGGCAGGGTCATTCACTCCTGCGGCCCGCGGCGGCAGCAACGCGGTCCCGGGCGGGCGGCATTGGTGCTGTGACACCAGTCCTGGTCCAGCAGTCGGGCCGAAGAGGCCTCACCTAGGGCAGAGCAGAGAGCGAGGCTTGAGCGCGCGCTGGCCCCACCCACAGCCCGGCCCCGCCCACAGCCCGCCAGTCTGCGCTCCACCCGCCTGGCCCCTAGTCTTTTGGCTGCCATCTATGGAGTCCCCGGTCAGGGCCAGCAAGCCCGGCCGTCGGCGGGTGGTGGCTGGAGTAACTTTTTTCCCTTCTCCCAGACCACGCACTGGGAACTCCAGCGTCGCCGGCCCGGGAGGCAGCGTGGCTCGGGTCCCAGAGCACACCCTCTGCGCTGCCTCTGCCACCGCCCCCGGGACCTGAGGTGAAAAGGCGGCGGGCTCGGCTACGCTGGCAAATGTTCTGGAAAACTCGCTTCAGAAGCGTTGCCCAACAGTAGACAGTTACTACCTAGCTTTTACGGCTGGAAATGGAATCATTAGCCGATTACTATGGCGTGTGCTTCCTTGGTGAGACATGTAACAGGAAACACTCCCACGAAAATAAAACTGCTGTGTACACCTGTTTTCATCCATTTTTCACGTTACTTTGGACAAAATAATTTATACTACTTAAAACTCAAAAAAGAAATGCTAGGAGCAGCCGGGTGTGGTGGCTCACACCTGTAAACCCTAGCGCTCCAGAGGCTAACGCTGGAGGATCGCGGAGAGTTGGAGGACAGCCTGAACTACATAGTGAGACCCTGTCTCCAAAAAAAGAGCTTTCGATTTGGGAATATTATTCAAAACAGGCCTTAAGGACCATTAACTACGCAAGTATCATTACAGCTTAGTGACTTGTTGACAGCTGAAACTGGCCATGAGGAATGCGTCCCTTGAACTGTCCCAATTCATCACATGTGCCTTTGACCTAGCTTCAGTTCCCCCAGGTCTGGAACTCAACATGCCCATTGTTTCTGCTCTCACAGAGGGCTCATTCTGTTCCCCCGACAAATGACTTCATTACCAGAGGACTCTGCCCTAGTGGCTCAACCCCCTTCAGTGGAGCCAGAGCCCTGAGTCTGGGGCTGGCAGTACAGCTCTCCAGCCCCAACTACTTCTGCCCCCTCCCAAGTCAGGCAGAAGTGAACAGCTCTCATGTGGCACCTGAACATGCGCCTGAAGTGATTCAATCTTCCTAAGTGAGGTCACCTCAGGTGCATGAGGACTACAAAGAGTCCCTGGCATGCTGTGTCCTGTGAGACAGGAAGCACAGGAAGCTATTGTCCAAGCTTCAAGTGCCCGTTCCTCAGCACACATCTGTGCTCTGCCTGCTGGCCAGAGTCCACATGAGTAGTGACTCTGCTTGTCTCATGAAACTCGATGTGTTTAAAACTACTCACATCCCTGTCATTACTCAAGTTGCTATGTGAGCATAATTCTAGAAATACAGGCACTTAATCGTCATGCAAGGTGGGCTGTCCGACAGAACTCTGGAGTCCCCACTCCGTCACCTGGTCATGTGTGTGTGCAACTTCTCAGAGCTCCTCACCTGCCACGAGCATAAGCCAGTAGGGCTCCTACCTCACAAGAGGGTTATAAACTGGCATAGTAACTGCTCAGAAAGATTAACTCCCTTTCTTGGGCAGCTTCTCCCTGACATTAATGACACTGGTCAAGTGAGAACTGGAGCAATGGAGGTCACAGACCTGGCCACTGCACACAAAGATTAAGCCCAGGCTACTTGAGATGGATGATGAGATCCCTCATGTCTAAGCTTCTCTGGTGGGCTTCAACAGCAAATCATGGTCTTCCTTCCTGTTTCCCCACTGCATAATCCACTTACCAAGCTCAACTGGTTAAAATAGATTAGCACTAAAACAGAACACATATCCTACTCACACTCCCTCCTTCTTATTACTCCTTTGGCAAATATTACCAAAAAGAAAAGCCTTTTGAGAAAATGTTACCAATACCAAGAGCTTCAGAGGAGGTAGTTTGTAATGAAAATGATTATTCTCTATGAGACTAAGAATACGAGGCAGGTTGGCTCCCTCGAGGTTTAAGAGGCCGTATCTGCCCACAGGCTTGTGAACCAATAGGTGGAAATCCAGCCTTTTAGGACAAACTGAGGCTTCTACAAAGCCTCCCCAGTGATTAGAAAGCTAATTTGCTGTTATGTCCAGCCCAGCTCCATCCCTACTCCCCTTCTGATTAATGGCAATTTGTCACTGTGAAGATGCATATTTGTCCCTTGCTCAACTGCAGGACTGTTATAACCTCTCCTGTGATTTCTATCTTATATACTATGCCAGTATCCACTGCCTGGCCAGCAAGCTCTGCTCAGAGCCAGGAATGCAATCAGGTTGCAATTTCCAAAGACAAAAGGTGTGGATCTTCAGAAGCGGGGAAGATGGGGGACCCAGGCTCAGTAAAATGGTCCATGCCAAAATTAAAGTAAGCTCAGAAAATATAGTTCCATCTCCATTTGTGCTAAAACACTCCCCTGTCCAAATTCTCATGCTCACGCCAGAAGGGCTGGGATAAGGCCTCCCTCATTCCTATCTGTTTTGAACTGGGAGATAAGGTGTTTGGTCTCTCCTGCATGTCTGCTAACTACTGCAATCAGAGGTCAGCCACGACACACAAGGACAAATGACTAACACTGTAGCTTCCCAGGGCTCCTAGCAAAATCATGACGGTGGTGGGACAAGGAAAAATCTGGAAACGCAGCAGGGGCTTCTAGAAAAGTCTGTACTCTGTGACGTTTCAGGCAGACACCTGCTGAGACAGCATCCCCTCAGAGGAAAAACAGATCTTCATTATAGATCCTGGGTAACTGCAAGGATACTGGGCCCAGTGCTCCTCAGCAGGAGCACTCCCTGCTATTCACTATAATTCTGCTTCCATGCAGCTCACCATAAACCAGGCCATTGCTGCCATCTCACGTAATGGCCACTAAATACACTTCCCTTTGGGATATCTGTCCTTGCCATCACATCCCTGACAACTGTGGGTAACCTGGCCAGCCCTCTGACTTTCAGAAAATACTGCTACAATTGCCACAAAAGTCCACAAAGTAAAGCCTTTTAGCAAATAACTAAAAAAAAAAAAGACAAATAAGAGTCATGCAGAAAATGACAATAATATAGTGAGAACAGAGAGGAAGCTGCCATCTATAAAAGGCTGGTCTGCAGCAGTCGGCATACTGTACAAATTCTTCACAAAGCCCCAGTGAAAAAGGGGTGAAAGTGCTGAGCAGAAAGCCAGGCTTTGTCACTCAGATCACAAGGTTCCCTCTTAGGCAGTCAGTCAGAAGGAAAGAGAGTGCATGTGAAGTCACTGGTGAGATTACAGGCACAGACACCCAGGATTACAGGGCGCCTCTGCCTGGAAGGCTAAGGGAAATGAGGGTCAGTCACAGCTACAGCCCACAGCCCAGCTCTGCAGTGGGGAGCAGCAGCACACCCACCTGGGGGAGGGGGCTAGGGCAGTGTTTTGAAGGGCACTACCTTGCTTACTTGTCTTGGTTCTGGTTTTTAACTCTGCTGTGAAAATTTCAAAAGCAGATACAAGTTGACAACAATAGACAATGTGCACCCATATATCTAACACCCAGACTCAACATTTCCCAGCATCTCTCCCAAACCTGACCTGCTCACCCACAGCATACATGTATTCTTTTCTGAATCACTTGAAAATAAGCCATTTAGGGCCAGGGATTTAGCTCAGTGGTTCCACCACCTGCCTCGCAAGCGCAAGGACCTGAGTTCGATCCCTGGTACCAAAAAAAAAAAAGAAAGAAAATAAGCCATTCATGTCTTAACACCTCATCCCTAAATACTTTAGCATACACATTCTAAAAATAAGGACATTTTTCTACATAGGCACAATAAATACACTTAAGAAAAGTGACAATAATCCCTTTATATCAAATATGTCATCCACATTCAGATTTCCCTACCCCACCCCATTTTTATAGTAATTTTTTCTTAAAACCATGACTTAATCAAGATTCAGGTGTTATATGTGGTTAGTTTCAGGACAAGAATAGTCTTTTCTTTCTAACCCCTGCCTTCCCTTTCCCCTGGTTGTCAACTGTTTGGAGATATTAGATTAGTTATTTAGAATATCCAACAATGGACTTGTCTATTTCCTCATGATGTCACACTTTTCCCTCTGGTCTGCTTCGTAGAAACGAGTTAATGCAAAAGGCTGGCTCAGATTCAGCTTAAACATTTCCAGTGAGAAGCCATCATAGGTGATGCAGTGTAATTCTTACTGCATCCCTGGAAGAACATTACTGGGACTACATCTGAGAATCAGAATAATTTTATGCACACATGCGTGCATGTGTGTGTGTAGAGAAATACCCCATGGCCAAGGTTTGCCCCAGACCAGAAGAATCGTCACTTGTGTGAACAAGTGGAAGACTAGTCAGGGCAGCCTCTGTATGCTGACAACCCCTGGGGGATTCTGATGCCAGAGGTCAGAAGTCTTGTTCTAAGGTGCCATCCTAGAAGCTAGAGTAGAATTTTCTCAGAAATGTGTGCTGTATTTCTTTGAATGGAGCCATGTTTTCAGAAAACACAAAAAGATCTGCAAGCCTGGGTGGGAGCTGAAACCTCAAATAGATGTAGTACCTCCTCCAAAAATTTGCTTGAACCAAGAGAACGTAATTGACAGAGAAAAAAGCTTTTGTGTAACCAGGAAGATCACGATTTAACAGTAGCCTAGAGCCTCTTTCCAAAGGACAAGCCTGGTTTCCTCTGACACTGCTCTCTGCCACCGCCCTGCTCTTGGCTGACCTAGAGGGGCAGCAGGCACCAGGTAATGGATCCATGCTTGGGAAGGAGCCTGCAACTCTTATGTGGGGACCTCATAGTGCTTTTAGAGTGCTATAAACACACCCAAGATCAAATCTCAGCTCTGCCACTGAAGAGCTGTGTATCCTTGGATAGGCTGTTTATATTTAACCTCTACAAGTCTCATTTTCCTAAATTCAAATGAGGAGAGAAGCATCTTGCTCAGGGACAGATGCCTGGCAGTTTCGGGAGGCATTTGGAGAAGGGCTATGCATGGTGC